ATGCTCGTACAGACACTGCTCTTTTACAGAATGCGACTAAAGTTCTGTCGTTTTTAGAATTCTCTCTAAAAGCTTCCTGATTGATTTCATTTCATAAGTTTAAAGCCAAAAGATAGCCAATTTTCCACAGAATTTAAATCTTATTACAGTTTTGAAATAGCTTCTTTAAATTTTGAGTTATCGCTATTCTATGCTCGCACAAATTTTTGCGCTTTTTCAGCTTTTTCACTGCAGGCTTTCACTGCATTTCCATAAAAATTACATAAATGAATGAATCCTGGTCCAAAAAAAAAGGCCCAATGGGTAAAACTACCTGAAAAATCCGTATTTAAAGTTAGATTTTTATAAAAAGTTTTCCCAAAACGTTACATAGAGTCCAACACATTGAAGGCGCCTGTAAAAATTTGATTTGGCTGTATTTCTTTACGATCATAAAACACCATCAATCTCAACGCGTTAATGCAAATTTTCAAGTGTATTTACGTGTTTTTTAAAAGTTTAAAGTGACAAGAAGCAATTAGTAAAGAAATACAGCCAAATCAAATTTTTACAGGCGCCTTCAATGTGTTGGACTCTATGTAAAGTTTTGGGAAAACTTTTTATCAAAATCTAACTTTAAATACGGATTTTTCAGGTAGTTTTACCTACTAGGCAACTTTTTTTTGAGCAATTTTCTTAATAGGACCTCCAAAGTTGGCTAATTCAGATCTCCAAAGTTGGCTAATTTTCACGGAAAATGGGGGTTCGTGCAAAACTTTTGCCCTCTACTGTAACTCAAAATTTAAAGAAGCTTTTTAAAAATAGTAATAAGATTTAAATTCTATGAAAACTTGGCTATCTTTTGGCTATAAACACTTAGAAAATAATGACAATCAGAGAGAATTCAATTAAAGAGAATTTAAAAAGAACAGAACTTTTGTCGCAGTAGATATCCGATTGAGAGCTTGAGAGCTTTTGGCCTCTCAAAGAGAATCGCTCAAAATAGGTGGTGTCTATGCTTTTTCAAAAACGGCCATCTATCGCCGAGCAGCGTCGCCCGGGCTGTTGTCGGGGTTTAATTGAATTTTTTGACATTCGACGTTGGCGGTCTCTCTGTGCCAATGAAGTCTGGTTGTTTTTTTGGAATCAAAAGCGAAACAGGTGATACTTCTTTGATTCTGATTCCAATTCCATTGAAAACTGATTCCAACAGCCGAATTGAAGTAATTCGTTTTTTACATTTACAATTCAAACTTGAATATTACCTCCATTTTCAGCTTATAGTATTTCCATTTCTTTTTTCTTGTTGACATTTGATTAGCACCCTTTCCCTCAGCTTTAGATCACTCTTCTTCTTCTTTTTTCTCTTTTTTCAATCCCATTCCCCTCAAGGGATTTGCACTAATTCTTTCTACAAATCCTTGAAAAATTCCTTTTTCATTTCTAGTCTGTTTCTTATTTCTTAGCAACAATTTGTGAATATTCTGTAAATCGCTTGATTTTGGATTTTCTCAAAGGTTTTCTCACTATCAGTTTATCACTATCACTATCACTATACCAGATGAAGAGCGATCACGATTACAAAGAACATCTCGCCAGTCGTTTACATTCTTCTCTTGCTTTGTAGATGGTATAAAAAGAAGAGATTCAGCTGTAAATTTGTCCCGGGGACTTTCGAGGTCGGCGAATCGATTGGAGCTATTCATTTTATTGAGTCAAGCAATTGGAACTCGGGTTTAGTTGTTGTTAAACTAAAAAACTAAGCTGAGGCACTCACGGTTGAAACTGATACTGAGAAATATTTCCCCACTTTCTGCCCTACTTTCTGCCTTGCTTTCTACCCTGCTTTCTGCCCTGCTTTCTGCCCTGCTTTCTGTCCCACTTTCTGCCCCACTCTCTGCCCTGGTACAAAAAGAAGCTATTCAGCTATAAATTTTTAATTTGACTTTCGGAGTCAGGGAATAGATTGAAGCTATTCATTTTATTGAGTCATACATAAAACTCCGATTTAAGTGGTCTAAACTTTTAGAGAAACTCCAAAAACATTGACCCATTTTGGAGAGGAGATTCGCAGCTTTCAAATATATAATAATCATTCATTGTCTCCGTGTGTGCATTGTTCAAATTCTTTTTCAAAACGTGATAATCTTGGAAATTCACAAGTTTATTTTTACCTTAAACATTGCATATCAAAAGTTTCCTCAATGATTTTTGCAAGCTTTTCTTACAAAATCTCCAAGATTCTCCGGTTGATCGAAGACCGCAATTCCTTGTAGCGAAATTGGGTTTCTGTCTTTGCATTTAAATCCAAAGAAGATGGATGGGATTCTCGAGAAAAAAGACTCCACTAAAAGATGGACGTTTTCCCACGTGTTGGGTATTCTAGCGAAATGACGTTCCACTGTCCTTCAAGTGGTTTCTTCGAATTTTTCCCTTTACCTGCTCAAAGCCAGGATTTCTATCCCTTTTCTCTAAACGCTTTGAACAAGTGAAATGCGTCATATTTCGTGGGAATTGAAGATGTCTCATAAAGCATTTTTTGGACCGTTTCTGACTTGTTCTATTACTTGCATCGTTTTCTGCAGGCGCTTGAATCTTTAGCTTGCCTTCATTTTGTAATTTTACGTACTTATTTTACCTTTCTTTCCTCGTATCCACAGTTATTCCCAAAGCAACAATTTTTCCGAGCCAGACCAAACCAAAAAGGGAAAGGCAACAGTAGGAGGTGACCAAATGAGATAAGCTATAGACCATTCGACGCAGAATTTCACGCTGATGCCGAATCTGCTTTCCGTTTTTGCAAAATGACACTCTATCAAAAGTTATAAGCGTGAAAAGCTTTGTATGGGATGGCTTTCTATAAATGTGTTATACGTGTTTAAAGTTCTAGGGTGAAGATGCGAAAATTTGAAGCCGAATAGAAATGCCTTTAAAAGGGTTCTCTCACTGGTCTTGAACGTGACTTGATGGTATAGCGGATGAAACGCTTGCATACAAAACGAGCGCTCCTTTTTTTTTGCTCGAGTTCGATTCCTTTATAATTTGCAAGGCAGGTTTGCCTTTTGAAAATGGTCCAAAATGTCCTTGAGTCTGCCAGAAACCAGAACTGGAGCTGATCTCGAGTCTGGCTTACAAGATCACAAGTTCTAGCCCGGTTCTCTTGATTCTAACCTGGCCTAGACTTATCTCCAGATCTGTCTTGCAGAGAAAACTTTTTGATCTTTAAAGATTTCAAGAAACTAACAATTTTATCTCTAATCAGTTTTCGCTTAAATTGAAGCTAGTTTTGTATAAAGCACCTTGATCTAAACACTTCTAAATCCTTCTAAATCCTCAAAAAGTTCACTCCAAAGCTATAGATTAAGTTTAAAGAAATTTGGAAGCAATTCGTGAATTGCGGGGGAAGTTTTAAGTGAAGAAAAAGAAGAAGAAGGGAAATGGCTCGGGTTTCCCCGTTTCCCCGTTTGCCAGTCCCTTCTCCCATGAGGGTGCTTCTCCCCTGTCGCTTTTTTTCCGCTTCAGAGTTTTCCCCACCAAGAGCCCCTTGAGGCCTTAATTTCCGTGCGGAGATTCGTTTTTCCATCCATAATCAGAACGAGATCTCGAGAGTTTGTTGAGAAATCTTGTTGATTTGGTTTTGGAAGATTTAATTGCTAAAGATCGATTTGCCAAAGCTCTTTTAATTTCCACATTGCAGCTTTTATCTCACTTCAATTTAGAAAGACAAGGCTAAAATTTGTTGCAAGCTTAAATAATTTTCGATTTTCAACCAAGCGCTACAGCAAATTTGACTCTAATCAATGTAAATCAATGTAAAGCTCAAGAGTGTTTTGGTTTTAAATTTTGTGAATTTCGTATCTAGTAGAATTTACTGGATTGAATTGTTAATGATTTGGGAATTCCATTTTTTACCCAAAGGTTTCAAAAGACCAAAACTTTCAGTCAAAAGCATTCGTTATGACTTTAATTTGGTTGACTTGGTTTTCCTTTCTCTTCTCCCTTATATTTCCTCTTTCTTCTCCGGCAAGAAGATGCCGGATAGCTCAGCGGTTAGAGCATCTGCCCGGAAAGCAAAAGGTCCCCTCTCTGAATAGATTTCTTTGCCATTGCATACTTTACATTATTACTTTACTGGTTGATTTACTGGACTTGGTCTGGCAATTGTGATCTAACCAAAGAACATCACTAATTCTTGACAAGTCAAGTGATTTTCCAACCGGGCCCATAACCAAACCTGAAGGTCCATGCCTGTTTTTAGGCATTGATCTGACTTAAATGCTCTTTACCAGGCTAAGCCTAGAGACTTGAGCCTAGCCTGCAAGCCAGGCCAAGGCCGGGCTTCTAGCTTTGTCCTGGCTTAGGACCTAGCCCTAGCCTCGCCTAGCCTAGCCCTAGTCTGGCCTATCCTAGCCCTAGCCTTGCCTAGCTTAGCCCTAGCCTAGCCTATCCTAGCCCTAGCCTTGCCTAGCCCTAGCTCTAGCCTTGCCTAGCCTAGCCCCAGCCTTGCCTAGCCTAATCTTGAAAAACTGCCCAAGTCCACTAACAAAACACCAATCTATTTACACTTCCATCAACTTCAATCCTTTGATCTCATCAACAATGTCAACTCAAATGGCTTAGTGAGTTTTTCTTTTGTTCTTTTAGGGGTCCTTAGTTAGGCCAAGAGCCTCCTCTCTGCATTTTCCTCCTTTCCCCTCCATACTTATAAATTATTCGATCTGCCCATTGAATGGCCGTCTCTTCATCAAAGAAAATTTCTTTTTCTCCGCATGTTACGAGTTTTGCTGATTAAAATTTCTCTTTGAAAGTGCCTAGAGACTTGAGCCTAGCTTTTAGCTTTGTCCTGGCTTAGGACTTGGCCCTAGCCTCGCCTAGCCTAGCCCTAGCTTGTGCATCTATTGTTATTGCTTTAGTTACAGTTATGTAAAAATTGAGCTTTCATTTATTAAATCTTAAGTGTTCTTTGAATTGGTTGTGAATTTTACTTAATCTTTTGTGATAGCGTTGCAAAATTTCAGGAAATGGTTGAAGATGAGGTAAAAAAGATTGCGATTCGAGGAAATGCATCGGGAATTCTTGGCTTTCGTTTGGTCGGCAGCCGACACTCCGGTGTCTTCGTCTATAGTATTCAAGATGAGCATAAACATGTGAAATTTTCGATTTATTGTTAAACGTTCACCGTAATGATCGGATTTTTAGCATTTTCAGTGTATTTTTTTCAGCAAAATGGTTTGGAGATCGGAGATCGACTCTTACAATGCGACAAAGTGCCATTGCAAGGAAGAGCGCCTGAACAGGTAACTTTTATTAAACAAACAATTGCAAATATTGTTAATTTCTTTGCTTACACTAAAGATTTACTTAAACTTTGGATATTTTACAGAAGCTTTTATGGAAAACTATCGGTTTTGGTTGAATTTCTTTTGAGATCCAACCTTGCAAACTTGACCTCTGTTTTTGAAGCTCGGCCCCTGTTTAGCTGATTTTCCAGAGCTCATATCTTGATAATCATATCGTATTTTTCGAAATCTGAAACTATTAAGAGAATATTTGAAGTTTTTATTGCTTAAAATGTAAAAAAGCGAAATCAAAATACTCATTAGAGAATATTTTGCATGTATAAAGGAACTATAAAGGACCTTTAAAGGAACCAAATAGGAACTACAAAGGAGCTATAAAGGAGCTATAAAGGAGCTATAAAGGAGCTATAAAGGAGCTATAAAGGAACTATAAAGGAACTTTAAAGGAACCAAATAGGAACTACAAAGGAGCTATAAAGGAGAAAAATTCAACTTTTAACTTTCTCGTTTTTTCGAAAAGTTCGATTTTAAAAAAATCTGTTAGATGGATTTTCAAATGGTTATCATATTCGGATTCAGCGCAAAATTCTGAGTTTATTGTTAATTTAAACAAGAAATTTGATCAGAAATTTGGTCAGAAATTTGGTCAGAGGTCAGAGGTCAGAAATTTGTTCAGAGTTCGGATGTGTTGTTCAGATTATTGAAAGGTTTCTATTAAATTTCTAACTTTGACAAAGCATATTGGCTCTGAAAAACAATATTAGATCTTCAAGTTTGAAGAATGAGATTATCTACGTGAAGATTTATATCAAATTAAAATGTGAATTTAATTTTTGTAATCAACTGTGATTTTTTTTTTCAGGTAGCCTCAATTCTCCGTTTTTCTCTCAACCGTTCGAATCACATTTTTGTAATTGTAAAACGCGAGAATTCGATTCGAGAAACCCTCGAAAAAGCTCGACAACGAGCGAATAAAGAAAACGAATTAGCGGAGAGATTTGAGGAAAATGATGAGGTGGGTGATTTCATGAAAACAAAGAAATTGAGAGTTTTTGGTTAAACTGGGGGATCGAGAAGTAAATGAAAGTTTTTCTGAATTAAATTTTGATCTTTTAGATAATCTAACAAGTCTACCAAATAAAAACGTTCATTAAATAAATGTTTAGAGAGCAAAATTGTTTCAAATGGTATAATAAAGTAGTTACAAAAGTTCCGATGTTGAAAATTGATTTATAGGGTACGTGAAGTTCTTCCCCCTCCTAAAAGACCACTTTTACAATGTTTTATGAGCTTTCCAAGACTCTAATTGTATTGGTGCTTTAATTATTGATAAAACAAAAACTAAATAGCGGTTATCAAGAATTAGTACTCAACCTGATAACTTCTGCTTCTGAACTTATGCATTCTTTAATGCAAAAACTTACCATTCCATTTCTTTAATCGATAATGTGAAAGTTAAACCCACAAAATCCTAATGTGTAGATAATCATCAAATACTTGATATAAATATTTCAGGATTCCGATGAGCCGAGCAGTTCATGGAGAGGCTCATCCGAGGATTTTTCGATGAGAGAAATCACTCCTCCATCTTCTTTTCTCTCCACATCTTTCCATTACGATTCCCAGACATCACCGATGCGAATTGTAAGCGGATTATAAAGTGTTTATTGAAAAATTTCAAAAATTGTCTGAAATAGTGATTTCACTAGTCTATTTATTCGTTTTCACTATCTGGACTAGTTGATTCGAGAACGAATCTGTTCTTGGAGAACTTGAATACTTCATTGTTTCTAGAGATCGGAGATTTCTGGTGATTATTTCAAGTATTAAACTCTAAGATGAAAATGGCAAGTCTAACGGTATTTAAGTTTCTTTTTGCAGTTCTTAAAAGCTTGATTTACTTGAGCAATTCTGACTACCGTATTTTCTCTAATGGTAGTGCACCCCGGCGTGACTCTTTTGCCGAGTTGGTCACTCTTTTACGGTTTCCAAGCTTTTGCAAAAGCTCAACACTCTAATCCCCAACTAGATCCCATCGTCAGCTACATTTTCCGACCCCACATCGATAGGTTCTGAAAGCGGTTCTCGAGATTTCGAGAAATTTAGGCGACACTCAGGGTGCACTACTATTAGAGAAAATACGGTATTATCGATCGCCGATAGTTAGCATCCCATTCAGCTTTGTAGTCAATAACAAAAATTGCTCTTTAATTCAAAAAATAAAAAAGAAACGTACTAATTATCTTACTAAACTAATTATCAGCATACTTTCCCCAGAATAGCAGCTTATTCATAAAAATTAAATCACCCATTTGTAAGCCTGTCATTAGACAAGAAAAAATGGTCAACAAGTCTGGCCAATTATTTCAAATTTGTCCGATAGTCAAATCACTTTATTGAAGCTCAGCTTTACGACTTTAAATGGTAATATTACAACGGTTTTTATATATAATCTTCATCATCTTTAGAAGCGACGAATGGTGAAATCGTTTACAACTGAGGATCGGGTGTTGTTGATAACTTGTAACGCCGATCAGGAATACAGGTGTGCAGAATAATAATACAGTTAAAGCTTAGCTATAGCAGAAAATAACATTCACCCAGTCTGCGGTGGTCCAACTTTGAGTAGGTTCAACAGGTCCATACTTCTTCGCAAACTCGAGACGGGTATTCCTGTGCCTGGCAACCATTAAATGCTTCTTAGCGGCACGTCTTGTCATCAATCCAGCACGAATCAGGCTCACTGTCATTCGATTGATATCCTTACCGAATTGTTGCTTCATGAGTCGGAATCCGTCTGAGGGATTGCGATTTGGGTCCTTCTTGGAAAACACGAGTGCTTTGTCTTCTTGAGTTGTTGTGACAGGTGGGCGGCCGGTTTTTGCGGCTCGGTAAAAGTACCCGGCTAATTTTGCTTTTGTAAACAAGCGTTTCACCTTCCTTTCTCCACACTTGAACTGCTCGTCCACATCTTTCACTGACATCATCTGTGCTCGGCCACACCTTTCACTGACATTATCTGCTGCTCGGCCACATCTTTCACTTTCCCTGGCTTCAACGATTTTCTTCTTGTCCGGGGTCAACAAATATCCAATTAAAGACATCCTAAAATAAAAAAGACTAGCGAGAAGTTAAAAAAAACACTTAAAAAACGCAAAATTTTAAAAAAAGGCCAATACTTTTGTGCATTTCTTTTAGAGTAAGCGTTAGCAAATGTATTTTATTGGTTTATAGAAAATTTTTTGGGTTTCTGGCTATGCAATCATGAAACTAGAGAAAAAGCTCTAGCTAAAACTTGCGCATTTTGAAATTCATAGAAATTTATAGAGTAAAAAAGATTTACAATCACTGGGGAGCAAAACTTTTTTTGCGTGACTGTACGAACGAAAAAGCCCATTTCGTTATAGAGAAATTTTGGCTAATTGGGGTTTCGCTATATGAAACTTTAACTAACTAACATAAAACCGAGTTAATCTTTAAAAATTTCTATTTAGAAATAAGATAGTTAATCGATAGCTAAAATACGATAGTTAATCCACATTTGTACAGAACGCTTGGCCTTTGCGAACGTGAGGATTTCGAAATCGACTTCTCGTCGGGGAAATTCCAATGCCCGATTTGCTTCAAATATACAGATTTGGTAATTTTTAAAATTGAATTCTATAGGCTTAAGCTTATTGGGTTTTTAATCCATCATTTATTATCCTTATTAGCTTTGATTTGATTGATTTGATCCTTTGATTTTGTTCAAAAGTCATTAAAATGTTTAGAAAAAGCTTCATCGTTTACGGCACATGTGGACACTGTCCGCGAGAAGATTCCTCCCATTCTCCTTTTCTGATTATGCAATTTTATAAAACAATACAAAGTTTTCAAGATTTTGAGAATAAATCTTTATTTCTCTTCACCGAGCAAAAGCTTTTCAACGATTTTCTCTTTAATCTCCGTCTCGGTCTTTTTCCATTTCGTGCGACGATTTTGAAACCAAATCTTTACCTAAATTCTAATTTTTAAACAAAAACTTTCAGAAAACAAATAGTTTAAAGTTATTTCTAGATAGCTAGATCTCCTTTTGTATTACAGATTGCGATTAGCAATCTGGAAAAGTTGTTGAAGCTAGGGTTTTTGTTTGAAAGATTTATAAAAGATACAACGAAACTACAGGGTAATCAAAAAGTTTCCGCAGACTTTACAAAAGATCCATTTTTCAGCTAAAACCCAGATCGAAAGAAGAATCGAAATACATAGTATTAGGTGTGTGAAAAAGTAATCCACGTTTTTTATTTTTATCTGATGAGAAGACGCTGTCTTCCCGAAAACCCTCGTTCAACCTCTTCAGAAATAGGCCTTACAATAAATTGTGATGGGTCAATCGTAAGGAAACGCTTGAATGCCATGAATTTTATCAAAATTTATCAAAAAGTTGGACAAATGATACCGCATGAATGACCACATGTCTCTTTACAGACTCGACAAAAAATCCAGAGTGTTGGTTGGGAGGTTTTACTACATCCACCTTATAGTCCAGACCTTTCTCCATCTGATTATTATTTATTTTTGTCTCTGTATAACTTTTTGGCCAATAAACGGTTCAATTCCGAAGAAGATGTCAAAACCGAGGTTGATCTTTTCTTCGCCTCTAAGGACCAAGATTTTTATGATCGTGGAATGTCTTTACTTGTAGAACGTTGGCAAAAGGTTGTTCTTTCGAATGGTGATTACTTCGTTGAATAAAAATTATTTTAACGAAACTTATGGTCTTTTATATTTAAACGTTAAAAGCGTGGATTACTTTTTCACACACCTAATATTTTGAAGCTGAAATCCTGGGAACTTTTTGATTACCCTGTATTTCAAGGATGCAACTATTGCGAAAATTCCCTGGATTGCGAGTCCGAATCGGAGCCGATTCTCAAGTAGTTTTGGCTTCACAGGATGCCGAATTTATGGCCAAATATAGCCAAATTTAAAGGCATCATTTTTCCCAGGGATTTGGGCATAATGATGTCAAAATGGAGAAACTCGTTCCGTCGCTCTTTAATACGGAAAACGATTAGCTCTATTACTTTCACCTTCTCTTGTTTTTTGTTTGGTGATAAAGGATTGAAGTCAGAGGTGTTTAACAGTCAAGGGTTTAAGTCAAAGGCCCAATGCTTTAACAGGATGTTATAGAAAAATAAATCCAAATTTTAGGCTTTCGGGGATCCCCAAAAATTTCGGCATAGAGTCGCGCAAGGTGGCAAACCGATCCAGGCACTCAACGTTTCTTCCCCTTTACCGATTTCTAAAGGGAAGCGCTTTATACCAAACGGGTATGCCAGGTCGCGAGCGATTACGCAGCCGAACAAAGAACACCTCGCCAGTCACTTCATCTCATTTTCATTTTACATAAAATTTCATCAAAAAAGTTATATGTCCTGGATAATTTGATTATCGTGAGAATCGGTTCTATTTCGGTTCTCTGCTTTCAAATTCTTGCAAAATCATCAGGAAAAAAGCTTCTATAATCCGCGGCATTCTAGAAAACGGAAGTAACCAAATTTATGCTAGAGCAGTCAAAAATTCAGTACCAAGAAGAATAAAACAGCCTAAAACTTCTGAAAGGAAAGTTTAGCTAATTGAATGGAAAAAAGTGCAGTTGGATTATACGATTCTTTTAACATTAGACTAGTTTTAATCATAAGGCAAAATTTCTCGAACCTGAGTCTCTGTAACGTTCAGCAAACGAGCCAACTCTTGTCGCTCGCTTGACGAGAGATATTTCTTTGCATCAAACTGTCGCTCTAACTCGTATATCTGCCGTCCGGTGAATGTTGTCCTCGCCTTTTTCTTTGAAGACTTTGTACTTGTTTTTTTACTCGAAGAAATTGTAGGTTTTCCTAAAATTTGGCAAGTTTTCCTTTCAAAAATTGATCAATGACTTGATTCTGCCGTCGTTTCAATGACGCCGAGAAGCTTTTCAATTGAGAAATCGGTGTTTTCTCTGGGGAATTCGAGGAGTATATCTAAAATTTACAAGCTCTGAAGCACTATGGTAGTTCTTTGTAAACCTAGATCGGAAAATCTATGTTAGTTTCTTTATTTCATCTAGAATACTAGGTTCTTTACGGATAACGGAGGGGGACAAGTTTTCTGGTCAATTTGCAGTCCGATTTTAAATAGGTTTTTGTGAATAGCTTTTGATAAAACAAATAGTTTCTGAAAGCTGACGTTCTAAGCTATCTAAATCTTATTAAGACTTTCTGATTTGACAAGTTTAAGGTACTTAAAAATGAGCTGCAAGTTGGCCAAAAAACTTACCCCCTCCCCCCTTTATCCGTAGAGCACTGAGTTCTGAATGAGCTCTCTTGGACGATTAGACTGGTTCAAATCTGTTCAAAAAACAGTTCTGAAGGTACCAAATCAATAATAATAATAATCAATAAAAATAGTACCAAATAAACAGTCTGCTTGCTATGATTCTCACCTTGAAACACTGGAAGTGGAAACAAGCCGATGAAGAAGGGATTGAGGGTGGGAAATGTTGGAGACCAGTTCATTTGGGAAAATAGAAATTGAGTGAATTTTATAGGAAGCAGTTGACAAATTGCAATGGAATAAGAATTTGATAATCGGTTACAGTTTGTCTTTTTTTCTCAAATTTCTCAATTCCTTTTGTCGAGCAACTGAATAACGTGTTTAACAGGCTCATAGCCCGGATTTCGGTGTTTTTGGAAAAATCTCTAGCGCTTCGTCCAGAAGCATCCAATCAATTTATACCAAAAGAAGAAAATTCGGCAAAATCTTTAGTCTACATCATGGCTACAATGAAAGTGTTTTAAAATGAAATTCACTCGGAAAAATTTGCATTCTTATGAGAAAATTTAGGGAAACAGAGGTTTCAGACCCTTAGCCGTTATCCAGGAAACTTCTTATCGCCACCAAACAATTTTCCGTGTCAGTTTACATAGGAAATGCAATCTAAAAATTTGATTTAATGGTTGTGAAGCGAGCTAGAGGGGCTCAAAGTTGGGTAGAGGCGAAAAACAAAGTCGTGACAACCCAACTTTGACTTTGACAACCTTCCTCTAGCTTGCTCCACAAGCTTTAAATTGGATTAAAATTTGAATTTCATTGTAGCCATGATGTAGCCTGAAGATTTTGCTGAATTTTCTTCTTTGGATGTAAATTGATTGAGCGCTTCTAGACGAAGCTCTAGCGATTTTCTCAAAAAACATCGAAATCCTGGCTACGGGCTGGATGAAGTAGGTAAACGAATATAGCATAAAAATAGCGTAAAAAGGTAAAAAAATATCTGCAATGAGCTAAATCTGCAGTGTAAAGCTAAAAGTTGACAAATAAAGTTGGATAAATGTAGCAAGAAGGAGCTCAGAAGGCTTGACTCGAGACTCAAAGATAAAACCAAACTAAAGTCAAAAGTTGGATACAAATCAAACCCGTGGACACCGTAGTCTATTCGAAAAACCGGTCAAAAACCAAAAAGTAAATACTTAAATCCTTGATAAAACTTGTTGTGCTTACTGCTTGAAATCAAATCCCCAAACGCTTTCCTTCTTGCCTTCTTGCCTTCTTGCAGATGTCTTCTTCTTTCTCAAATAGTGTACTTGATTTGCTTTCCTTTAGAGTATCTCTTTCATTTCTTTTTCCTTCATTTTTGGTTTGCCAATCTTGCCCGATTGGGTGGCTATTTGCCTGATTTGAGGCGCCCATTTGTGCCTTTTGAGAGACGGATGAAGAGCTTTGAGATGAGAAAAGAGGGAAGAAAAGAGAAAAGGAACAGAATCGTCCCCAGCGATTACTTGTGCCCACCACTCACTCAAATCCAATCAGCATCATGTCTTCCGATTGAGAAACCCAAAAGCGAATGACTTGTGCTTCTTGAGCGTCTATAAAGCAATACAAAATGCATAAGGAAAATGTGGGACGTTTGGAGTTGACTTGTAAATTTCAGTGTCTGTTCTGAAGCCAAAATTTCAAAACCAGGCTAATGCAGGACAAATATTAAGTATCATTTTTTATGTAAAATTAGATAAATTTTTCAAAACTTACTTAAAATCAAAAGCAAGCCAAGGAAAAAGCCAAGAAAATGGACAGATCTTGGCCCACTTCTATGCTAATTAGGTAAATGTGTTTCAGCTTGTTGGCTGAATATCTTTCAGTTCTCTCGTTTCTCTCGAAGGCTTATTATTTTTCGTTCTTCGATTCTGAGTACCTAGTTTTGGCGCTTGTTTTTGTGACTTTTAAAGTCCTATGCACTTTTTAACATACGATTAGCTGCTTTTGAGAATACCTGATCTGTAAGTGCCTTGGCCCTATAGCGTTAAGTATCGCAAGAAGCCTTTTTATCATAATTTGATATTTAAACTCTGGAAAAACTTAGATATTCTTCAGCTCTGAACGCATTTTTATCGATGGTTTCTAACTTTTATCTCTTGCTTTGTACGTTTATACACCTTTTTTTCTGTTTAGAGATGAAGGTATTCAAGTCACTCAACTGCAGTCTCTGCAAGAAACCGTGTAAGTTTTATTTTGATTTTCCTACTTAGTTTAATCACGAACCATAACGCGAATTCAAGCGTTTGTTTTTATAACTTTCAATGCTTATTTTTAGTTGCTCGAGTTGCTAATCAACCTCGATCGCCACGAAGACTGTTGTGTGAATTAGCGATGTGTCATCAATGTTTCGAGGAGGAAAAAGCAATGAAGAAAGAACAGAGGAAGCATCAATGCACTTATGATGATGATTTTGTCAGCCGTAGCTATGCATACTCTGATTTCTGATTGGTGGGGTTTATTTGATGTTTTCTTAGAATAAGTAGGGTTGGTTTTGGTGGTTGGGTGGCGCCATTTTTGGCTTGCCTAGTCGAATCTAGTTTTGAACGGCTCTTGTCGGTACTTTTCTTCTATTCAAGAGAAAGATATATGCTGAAGCGATTGGTGCTAATTTAAGCGAAAAGTGTCATTGGACTTCTGTAATCGGATTACAAATGACCAATCCGCTTGGGAGAAAGAGAGACTCGCGTAGAAAGCGGATTCCAATGGAAAGGGATAAGAGACGTCTTCTCTCAAAAAAAAACCGAGAATTTGTATTTGCCTTATGTTCTCTTCTCTCATTCATTTGCGGAAGGGTTCTGAAGAAAAAAGTGCCCCCCCCAACTAGGATAGTACCAAAAGTGGCCCCTCCCAACCACCAAAGCATCTAAGTAGGGCTTATCTAGACAAATTATTTGATTTTTTCTTACATTATTTAGATCCAGATGCTCTGTCACCAGAAGTTGCCGTTTGCTCTTAAGTGCAATCATATTATTTGTACAGAATGCTACCTCAAGGCACGGAGACCAAGTGAAGATGAATTCTGGAAAAGCAAAAGTTACTATGTGATAACTTGTCCCATTTGTTGCTACAAAAATCATTTCTGCAAAAAAAGTACAAGATCAAAAAATCTCCTCCAAGGTAAAGAATTCCTTTTTCATCTTCTAACCTTGACTTAGATTTTCTGGATGAATTACCCAAGATGACACGGCAATTGGAATTTATGGAAAAACCGCGTGTTTGTGATTAGTGTGGCGATGAGGTGTCGTTTAATCTTAACATTGTAAATTCATTTTAGGATGTTTCGGCCAAAATGCTTCACTGCGGGTGTAGTAGCGTAGTATGTTTACATAATTTGTCTTAAATCTATTTTTTAGATCTGTGGTGCTTGTTGTTCCAGAAAGCATCGTTCACATAATGCAATGAGTCTAGTGGAGAAAAGAGTAGATCCAATTACTTCCTTCAAAGAATCCATTCTTGATGAGAAATCGACAATAAGCTAGACTTATTTCTAAAGCGAGATGCTTAATGTACTTAGTATTAAAGTTTTGTTTGTTTAGATTTATAAATGTTGACCGGTTGGAATGTTTCTGCTTTTTGATATGTTTTGCGAGCTTTTCTCTTTATCGTTGTGACTTGGAATAAATTTATAAAATATTGTTCGATGATGGAGTTACTGTTTGAAACAGTTGTGAATTTCTTGATTGATTAACTTTTTCGAGCTTTACATTTTGTAGGTCTTTACGGCCTGGCTATCCCAAGGTAATTTCACTATTTCTCTAACATTTCCGTTATCCGTAAAGCACCTCTTCGTCTTAAAACAAAGTCTAGTCTTGTATTTACAGGTCATGCCGTTCAAAATCAAGAATTCTTTGAAGTCATTTCCAATGGAGAAGTTGTGTTTCGATTTGAAGTTGGAAGTGTTGGAGCAAATGGAGCCAAGGGATGCGCTTGAGTTGGTTAAGGTGAACGAAGGATTCAAAGGGATGCTCGTGAGGGATCCGTCGATCGTTTTAGGAGAGCGCGTCTTCGCGCTTGACTTATTCGGTACGATTTGGATCCGTAAGTTTTTCAATTCACCTATAATGGAGCTCAATGCCTCTTCTCACGCTTCTTTCGTCAAGAGGATTCGATCGTGCGATTCCTTGGAGTGCAGGATTGAAGAAGAAAAATTGAAGGATCAATACACACTTCTGCACAATTTGAAGTCGGTGAATATTTTGTGCCTGGAAGAGAATTCAAGAGAAGCTCTCAAGAGATTCTTCTCAAATGTCCACGCATCGATCAGGAAACAGGCAATACTGAATATCAACCTCGGTGAAGATAAAGATGATCAAATGATCAACGATTTCATGGAGAATTTCATCATGAGACAACTCAAGGATTGCGAGAAATTTAGGTTTGACAGTAATTCCAAAGATTTATTTCGCTTTTACGACGCCTTTTTGAAGACCGAGATCAAAAGCGTTTATATTGTTGACCATTCGGCTAACTACATTGATTGGATGGCTCAACAGATCTTCACCAATGGAATCCCGAGCAAGAACCCTGAGGCTGCTATCTTGATTTCTACATGTGATGCCTTCCACATGATGGATTCCTCACAATATCCAGGAATACGACAAATCGATGGAGAAAATCGTCTTCGACTTCTCAAACAGGCGGTGGATGTTATGGAGGATTTTGGATGGAATGTTTATGATCATTGTCCGGGTGTATATTATGATCATTATGAGGGTCCTGATGGTTCTTATGATTATGATGGTTCGGAGGTTTTCAAGGGTTATTTTTTCGGGGGTTTCGAAATGGAAACTTCAGTATTCTGTCGACGTATTGATTCAACCAAGGACTGCGTCTGCGTGTACGGTTATTTTACGGGCGACTTGGTCTTCTTGGCCTTCTACGTACCGGTCGGTTAAAATGAACACTCTTTGATGATTAATTGTATCTTTTAGCCGCTTTCTATTGTTTCCATTTTTTGAATTGACAGATTATTGGTGTTTTATCTGTTATATTATTGGTGCCTTTCCATTATTCAGAATAAAGTTTTAAAATCTTTTGTGAAATGAAAAGAAAATGATTTGATATTATCCGTACTTTTTAGAAGCCTAATTGATTGTGAAAGTATCAGTGCGGTTATTCCTTTAGACAAGTCTTCGTGAAGCGGCAACGGCTTTTCGCAAAATGCCATCAAAGACCTGCAAAGACATCGATTCGAAAAACTCCA